GCAGAAATGAAAGCAGACAATAGAACATTGCTAGAGAGCAGGAAAGGAGGTGAAAGGAGACAATTTTAGAGAAGAAAATTTTTCGGTCGCTACCCGGATTCGAACGCGGGACCTTTGAATGAGAGGCCAACACCTTAACCTCTTGGCTACGAGAGCCCCGTGTTCTGTGTGCCGTGTTCCTCCTTGCTTTTCTTGGATGGTGTCGTGTTCTTCTTGATGAGGATTGTTGTTTTAGTTTTAGTAGAGGTTTTACGGCGCTCGCAACTGCATAAGGTCATATGAGCACCAGAAGATTAGAGGTGTTACAAGAGAGTGACAAATATAAAAAAGAAGAAGGGGAGATACGGACGATAGATGTTTGATAGGAAAGAAGGAGCAAACCACACCAGAGCACCCGCCAACCACCCACTGATGAGGATTTTAATAACATCTCGCTACCTTAGAGAATTACAAAGTTCTACCGAACATTTTTGGCCGTTTTCTTCCTATCAAACATCTATCATCCTTATCTCCCCTTCTTCTTTTTTATGCTTGTTACTCTCTTGTAACACCTCTAATCTTCTGGCGCTCATATTATGACCTTATGCAGTTGCGAGCGCCGTAAAACCTCTACAAAAACTAAAATTCCCCCTGCTCAACAGCAGGCTCTATGTGCTTTACCACACTATATCATCACCCCAGCAGACCCGAGAACGCTTAGAAACATTTTCGGCTTGCTGGGAAGCATACAGTGCAAGCAGCGGATTAAGCGCTCAAACACTAACAAACTGACATGATCTTTTACTGTCTATAGCGAGGTAAAGTGAGGAAATTTTTGCGTGAAGTGCCTTTCTCAAGAACGCAACATCAGACCCTTGATGGGATTTGAACCCACAACCTCATGGCTGCAATTCCGAGACTCTAACCGCTGGACCATAGACGCCACTTTGTACGTCTGATGAGCTCTAACTTTGTTTGAAGTTGAAAGGTTAAAGTTGAGAGCTGTGAGGTCATTCAACTTTGTTGATCTTACGCCTGAGTACACATTGCAAGTCAATTTTATTTCTTTCAGTTTGGACTAGCCAGATTTTTTCTTTCACGAATTTGGCAAAAGTTCACATCTTAGCACGATTGGAACGAATTCGACTTAGCTCAATTGTGACGTTCACTTCAACTTCAAGGTCAAACGTGGTTGTTTTTCAAAGTGACGAGTCGAATCATTCGTATTGTGCCAAGATGGCAGGTTTTGCCCCGTCCACAGAGGAAAGAAAATCTGGCTGACCCCCAACTCATTTTGAGTGAACCAGATTGGGATTGTGCAGCGGGTATTAACCCTTCCAGCCCCGTGGCGCGTATATTTTCAACAGCACTTGTACATCCCACAGCCCCAAGAGCGTATAATATTCTCAGTTTTGAGAGTACCGAATTTGAACACTTTTCGAAATTGACTTACCGAATTAAACTTTAAATTTCATAATATTTGTTCTTTCACCTTTAACACTTTGCTATCAAAGGCAAAGGCATTTTGGGTAAAATCTAAAGAAACTAAGTGGTAAATATTGCCGATCGGCGAGATGTGACAGCAAAGGGTTAAACATTGTTATGTGTTATTGTTTAAACCTCATTACAAAGATACTACATCTCTTTTTAGAAGGCATGCCTGTTTTTCTGAACTACTGCTGTATTGGCTGGGACTGGGGTTAGGGAGTGCACAAAATTGGCTAGGGCTGGAAGGGTTAAAACAACTCTTATCTCGACTGCTCAGAGTAAGACTCGCTGTTCAAAACGGTATATGTGAGGCATTGTGGAGAAGTCAGGCACTCGTTGAAATAACGGAAT